CTTCGCCACAACCCATCCTTACAGTATACACGTTCTCGTTACTACAAGTCACGATTATTCGAAGAAAAAGCGTGACAATACCAATCGTGGATATCAATAAATAATGCAATAAAGATCAGAATTGGAATCCCTCGATTCGGGTAGATCTAAATAAAATCGAATTAATATTAAGGAAACAAGGAAACTAGCATACATAATACCATCTATTTACTTTGATTTATAATATTACTAGATCGCATACTGAAATCGCTTGCAAGATATTTTGAAAAGCTAGGAATTTTGAGCAGTTGACTCGTGTAACGTGCTGTTGGATGTATTTTTGATGCAAGAGGTTGGGAGGGAAAAATACGCACAGGAATTTTTTTTCGGGAAAATTCCTTTGATCTTGGAAATTGTTTATATAGCACGGAATCTTTGTTATCCTTTTCTTTCCACCATTTATAAATTGTTGCGTATAACTCATTTGCATCTGGACGATTAGCTGGATTAGAATCCCAACAACGCATAATGAGTTGCTTAAATAAATCCGGTACTTCGGGTTTAATTGTTGGACGTTTATTGTTGCAAATTTTATCAAATACTAATAAATGCTCATCATACGAAATATTATAAAAAGGTGATATTTCGGAAAGCAATTCATTCATAATGACACCAAAACCGTAAACATCAGATGCTTCTGTGTATTTATGTCCTCTTAATACCTCAGGAGCAACATAAGGCAACACGCCATAAATTTCTCTTTTTTTATTAGACCGTTCATTAATTTTATCAATTGGAAAAGATAAACCCAAATCTGTGATGTTAGTTCCGCTATATTTGTCACATAAAATGTTCCCACTATGGAGATCTCCATGAATTAATCCAGCCGAATGAATCGCTTTAAGTCCCGTTGTAATACTCAACAGGATATCAATTTTACAAAGCCAGGATAATTTTCCCTGGTTAATCTTTAGATAATTACGAAGATTTCCATAACTTGCATATTCTAAAACCATTATAAAATTATTTGTTTTCGGATCTTTGGATATCCCATAACACCAGATAGTGCACCTTTCATATGCAATGTTAATATGGAATTTTATCTAAACATTAAATTTCATGTGATGCGCATATAACAAGGCCATTAACGTTTGATTACAGTATTATTCAAATTTGAACCAATCAAATTGATTCATACCTCTTGTAAAAATTCATCAAATTTATCACATGAATTGTGTAAAATCTTCAACGCAACCTTCATTTTACCTTTTCGTTTCCATCGCTGAGTTTGATCATTCCATTCTAGAATTCTTCCATCAATCCAAGTTGCCTTATAAACTTGCCCAAATCCGCCCTTATCTAAATACTTAACCTTTTGAAATTTCTCATATGGAATCCATTCTAAAACATTATAATCATTTGATGCTTCCAGTTGAGAATGTTTAATAAACTCATCGACAGCTTTATTTCCACTTGTCCATTCGTTAAATTCTTTTTGAAAACGACAAGCGTTACATTTTTTACACCAGTAATCAGTATCGTTTAGAGTTTGGCATTTTTTGCAAGTTCGTTTTTCCTTAGATAAAAAGATATTCAATTTTTCAGTTAATAATCTTGATGTCATTTTTATGATCAATAAATAGTGTTCATCTTGTGGATTTTGTGTGATGCCTAATATATCATGTATGCTAAGTTGATCATGTAAATTTTTTATTATATTTTTTATTGTGTTTAAACTATTTTTATATGAGCAATCAAGACTTATCAGAATAACCTTCATTTCTCCCTCTTTTTTACATTGCTGACTTTGATTACCTATCCATTCGGCTGAATAAACTTTTTTATGTTCTGTAGAGTAATCAATATTTTTAAGTTCATCAAATTGAATCCATTTTAAAGGGTCCAAATCATTAAACGCGTTTAACGGAGGTTCTTTGATAAGCTGACCGATATAGGAATTTCTATTAATACAATCATCGTTGTATTTTTTGTGCTTTGATTTTTCCAAATCTTTTAATATAGATTTCAATTCGGAACCATTGTATTTGCTCGAATAGTGGTTGTTGTTAAGATCTTTCTTAATTCTAAATGACTTGTTTATTTTTGGACACGAATCAATTTCAAAATTAATATAATTTAAATTTAAATTTCATACTATAACTATAGTTAACGCAAAATTACTGAATTGAGGCATTGCTGTATGTTGCCGCATTTATCTATATTATTAATCGGTAATTAATGCGGAATCTTGTAAATTAATTTTGACGTCAACTATACTTATAACCAAAGATGGAAACTGCATAGAGTTGTTACAAAATTATAACGAAAGTTTCAGTTATGGTCGCGCTATACGTCAGGTAACTCTTTACTAATTTTCCCGCCACTTCTACCACTTTTGATTGGTTCTAATTAATCAATTTTATGATATTCCGATAGTGAAGTGGTGGGGAAAATTAGTAAACCCGCAATTATTTAGGAGTCCGGCTGTGTATGATCAGCGTTGTAATTAGTGATGGTCCTCACATTTCATTGCTGTATAGTCTCCGAGCATATATATATTGCCGATTTCACGAGTAGGCTGCCTGAAAAATCCTTGGTCCCGTGATTTTATATGACAAAATGATACGTTGTTCTGAATGGCACGAAACCAGTGTTGATACATAAATGGCACGTCAAAGGCACGAGAAAGATTCGTGAATTTACGTATAATTACCCGTGCCAATTGGACTAGTAAACTTTCACAAAACCCGAGGCGTTTATGGCCCAATTGGCACTGATATACTGTCCAACATGAGCCATCAAATCGTACCAATTCGAACCTTTTACGTACAAACCTGGTTTGGTCCGTCCATTACGATAGACCGTGAATGCATAATATTGGCCAAATTAGAATTAGAATCGGGAATTATACCGGCGCATCGTACATTCGTCTAATGCATGCTGTGCGATAATGCAGTGGCTGTTGCTATGCATAAGATCATGTGTTTGCCCGATTTCACGTGATTATATCACAATAGTCTTCTGATATGGTTGTTAATGGGTTGGGTTGGGTTGGGTTGATTTAATCTTCAACCCACTCCACTAAATTAAACCTTACTCTAGATTCTATTCCGGATTGCTCCAGACCTGTTCCGAGTTGCTCCAGGTTTCTCCAAATTTATAAACATATTTTTAAACCCACTCCGATCTGGATTAGATTCAATCTGGAGTGACTCCAGAGTATGCCACACCATTAACAACCTTACTTTCTGAATATATGCTAAGCTTATCGTATAATCATGTACAAATGACGTAACACTATAAAGTCGTCGAAATATTGCTCGAATGTCATTTTTAGTTAACGCATAATTTCTGCCATGAGCTGCCCATCTTTGCTTATGACTACAGAACTAACTTATACAGAAATATCACCAAAATTCCAGGTAGTGATGGGTGACGAAATTGACGGAATTTGACGAAATAAGCATTTCGTCAATTTCGTCACTTATAATTTCATCAATTTCGTCATTGCGAAAATAATTTCGTCACCCATCTATAATTCCAGGTCGGAATTGTGGCCGGTTTTAAAAAATTTCATCGATAAAGTTATCCCTATAAAAATGTCGATCCGTGTTTTATACTCCGTGTTTTGTCCATAAATGTTGCATATTCACGGAATTTATAACCTTAAATCATGGAGGTTATTCGGCTTTTCTAGAGGAGTTTTCACAAAAAATATGGAGAAATAACGGAAAAAAATTTTTACAGGGTATAGCTCATTGATTAAATAAAAGTGTCGAGTTGATAATTATATTATTGGCCAAATATTGCTTAATGCCGACTCTAATTTTGGGAATTTCCCTGTAAAAAAAAAAAAAAAAAAAAAAGCTTACTTTTCTCAAGTCACGTGAACTGTTGTTGATCCAAATTCTAGTGCAAACACTTTTAGTTCGACCATGTTTGATCAATTCCAAACTTTGCGACGTGCTCAATTGAATATGTTCGTTTAATTTGTGAATGTCAAATATTTTGGCTCGTCCTTTCGCCAAAATTTTCCTTAAAATAAAGAGTGACTCCGGACCATGCGATTGTATGCCAAACGTTTTGTCCGAAGGTTTTCGCGTTTTCGATTTTGTTCCGGAGATTGATATATCAAAAATAGTATTATTAATTATCGTAAGACATATAAAAGCCATCAGAAGTATTAAAAGTTATCATCATGTTTGTGAGCTTTGCTCAAAAGAATGATTATAATCAACGGAGTACGCACACATTTTATAACAATGGTCATCCGGAAAAAAAATATAAAAATTTAGAATGTACACACAGCATGCAATGACTATTAACTAATTATAGTAGTGTCGAATGAGAATATTTGACCATTATGCGTCTATCGGATTTATGAAAATTTACTATGTTTGTATTATTCTTTGTCTTGAACACTATCCTATAGAAGTTCTATAAAAGTTTAATTAGAAATCATTTAAAAATCGATTGCTCTATATAGCCTATTATTTAGCAATGCCAAATTTACTTTCTATTCGTAACGTTGCAAATGAAAACGGAATTTACTGAATGTGACTTAAATGTGATTTGCGATTTAGGGTTAGAGTGTAGGTTTATATAAATTCACTACTGTCCTAATTTATTCATGAAATTCTAATTTTATTAAAGAATTCACTACTAGCAACAATCATACCTGTGAACATGATTTTAATACCACTTAATATCAAATCTGAAATGGTATATATTAAGGTCGTGCGTACGTATGTGTTCGATTACTGGGCTAGGTATAACTATTGCCATAAGAATTTCCTTTTGGGGCTACTCATTTTACATGATGCTAATAAAGTTGCCTTATATTTTTGGAAGTCGGCTGTTGATAACGTTTGATAATTGAACTACAAACATTCGGCGTATTTTGTGCAATGAATATTGTTATTTTGAAATTCCTCGTTTTTTCGTCGTTGAGTATGTACGTACGTACGCACGTACAATTTTAGTTTGCGTATTGTTTCACTAACTAATGAATCTAACTTATAATGGTATATATATTATGCAGTGATTTCGATATACATTATAGTAAGTTTACAAATAACATTATTATGATCGCTGCTGCATGTTAAATTCCCATGATCCCATGATCCACGCAAAAGCAAAGGTGGTTAAAATTGTTGTCGATCAAACATTTACGTATGTACTACTTACGTACAATGATCATTGATATCGATGTAGGTATCCCAGTTGTTACCTGAGGTAAAAATCAGTGTGCTAATGCTAAACTGGATAGGCCAAACTGGTTTGATCAATGAATGACCCTAACACTTATCATAAAACCATGTTAACCTATGCAATAGAATCATCGCACCAGGTTCTTAAGAAGTGGGGTACCGGTCCCAACAAGTCATAATCCCGACAAAAAAATCCCGACAGTCAAAAATCCCGACGGTCAGAATTTTCGATTAAAAGAATATTAAAGCGAAGTAGACTCTTATAATTTAATTAACTTTGGTCACTTTAGATACGGGTTAGGCTTGGGTTAGATGATATTTTTTTTATCAAATTTTTAAATGTCGGGATTTTTAACTGTCGGATTTTTGCCTGTCGGGATTATGACCTGTCGGGATTTCGCTTGTCGGGATTTGACCCAAACCTCTTAAGTGTACGTTCTTAATTATAAGAACCTGATTCCCGTTGATTAAACTACATTGAAACACAACCACAGTCAGACCTCTCTAAATGCATAGCCGAGGGGCGGCCAAAAAATTTGCATTTAGGGAGATAAAATCTATAAGTGTTATATGAGTTGGGGCCAAATAAGGCCATGCCTTTAGAGAGTCTTTCATGCATTAGGGAATATGCATAACTAATGCATGCATGTGCAGTGCTAATGACGATTCTAAAATTATTATATATAATTAATAATATCGGTTGATTTGCGGATGGGTCCTCTCAAATTATAATTGTCAAACGATTGATTATTTTAGGACTTGTAATTGTGTGACTCTGAGGGGGTTATATTTACGTACGTACGTACGTAATAAGTGTCAGCTTCCTAATTATTAAATTTTTTTTATTACAGTATTTAAAATTTTTGAGGACGTTTGTTTTAATCTTTTTTTTGTAGTTAGGTTAGGGTAGGGTTAGTGTTTATAATAAAAAAGTATAGGTGGATATTAGTGGAGTTTATATTTTAAATCGAGACTCCAAGTTTCAGCACCATCCTGTTTAGCATCATCTCTAACAATTAATAATTTGTTATTTATTTGATACAAAGTCTTAATATAATATAATATATTTTTTTAAATCTAATATGCATAGTAAATAGTTTTAATTTTGAGAGGTTATTAGATTTAAATTATTAATAGTCTACTAGTTATATAATTATAAATAAATATACAGTCTGCCCTTCATACAGTCACTCTCCATATAGTCATACCCTCTTTATATAAGCACACTAATTTTTAGAACAAACGTATATAAAACATAAGATATTTAACCTCTGTACAGGCACAATTTCTTATAAACATAGAATTTCTTGGGACCAAGAGCGTGACTGTAAAGAGGTTAGACTGTAATTAGTTAAATTAAATTTATTATATATATGCTTGGTTATACAGAGCTTGATTTAAGCCAATTAAATTATTTTATATTAATTAAAAAATCTAAAATCTTATAGTTATTAACAAACTTATATAATTATTTTTTTTAATTTGGCTATCCTGCCTCTATTTATTAAGATTAAGTTATTTGATAAATTATAAAATTCTTCTTTATACTATACTAATTTATTAAAACAGAAAATTCATCTAATTAATATCCAGATACAATCTGCTTCATTAGCTTCTAATTTTTTTCAGGTTCTTAACTTACTAAGAACTTAAATTTTTTGATTATTAGCTAGTATCTATATACTCATTATCTATTATATTAACTATCTAAATCTAGTCTAATAGAATAATTTAAGTTATAAGTAAAACAAATAAAATAAATAAAAGAATATATATATTATAGCTTATATACAGAGTTTAAAAATTATATATAATATAACTTCAAAATTATTATCATAAAACATCATATAAGATACCTGAGTATTTTACAATTTACATGATAAAAATTTGATTTGTATCTCCTCAGGTACCTTGTATAAAGAAGGTATATTACATAAGAGGTACCTTGTAAGAAGGGTATATTATTAAGTATATAGTGATACTATATTTCTATATTTCATTC